ATCAGAAAAAAACGCTCGGAGTCTCTTTCTATTTGTTTTAGAATCTGGAACAATGTTTTAGAGCTTAAAGTCCGGAGCCTTTTAACGCCCTTTGAAAGCATCCTTGCAAAAAATTGTCCTTTACACAGCGTTGTAGGTCCCTTCCCGAGCTTGCCACTATAGAGAAACGACGAAAGCTTTACATATTGCTTAAAAAGTCCCTGTCAATTACTGTAGAAGCCGCGAACCTCTTTAAAATGTATCCCATCGCATTCGAACAGTTTTTTGAACACTTTCCAGAGCTGTATCCTCCTTTGTAGGTACACCTTTCTAGGTTTGTCTAGATTTAAAAAACAAACAAAGCTCGGCAAAGAGCCTGAAATGCTCTGGAAAGAATCTTAGATGGCCGTGTAAAGGGCCTAGGCCCTAGGTAGTTCTGAAAAAGGTTTTTTCTTTAACTAGGTTTTTGGATTCTTCCAATTTTGCAAAATTGACCCAAAATTCTTGTTCCAAGATGGCGCAAAAACAGCACAAAATTAAAATTTCCGAACCTTCTCGAACGTTGAGGCACAAATCAATGTTTAAGGAACTTTTCAGTTCTTGGGTATGAAGAAAAGGATTGAGTGAGTCAGCGGTTAACGTTTCAGATTTTGCTCGGGCCTTGGAGTTGCCGGCGCCGTTCCCTTAACGTTCAGTTACCTATCAGAAACTTGCCCAAGAGCGACGCGCACAAGATACACGGGATTGTTGCACTCATTTTGGCCGTTAGGCGCATTATTTACTTCGACAATTGCACATTTAACCTTGCCAAGCGATGGAGCAGAAGTAGTTTTAGATAATCGCGAACATTGGAGTTCTTGGCACAAATGCCTTATATTAAATATCCTTCCGACCATTGCATGTATAGTAGGTTTAGTTTGGGCTTCAGAATCTCCAAGATATCTTTTAGAAGCTTCGAGAGAGGTAGAAGCTTTAGCTGTGTATCAAAGGCTACATAGATTAAATAAGGCGAGAACGCAGTATGGATTAACGGAGCTTGAGTTACCCGGTCGAAGCGCGTACAGAGATAGGCCCGTTAGTCCATCGAGAAATGTTATCTCGCACGGATTAAGTACGGTAAGTTTCAATGTTTCAATAATTTACGTGAAGAACGCGAGACTGCTGGTCGAATTTTCAACGATTTGTTTCCCGTTTCAGTTCCGCGAGGCATTTCAAAGAATCTACTCGCCATCACATTTCAAAACGACACTTCTATTAGCAACGCTACATTTACTACTTGGATTCTGCTACATGGGAATATCAACGTTTTCCTACTCAAGAATACGAGAAACCAACGATCTGCACTATTTCTCGATGAAAAAGTACATAAGTAATCAAAACTACACCGATGTAATGTTTAACTCGACCGTTGAAAACGTCCAATACAAAGAGTGTAACTTTGAAAACGTTACGTTTACGCATTTACATTTTAATCACGTGGAATTTGTCAATTGCATGTTTGAAGAAACGGAATTCAACAACGTTAAATCGTCCATCACGTATTTTGAAAATAGCACCATCAAAGATTCGAGGTAAGATTTTTGCAAAATAATTAATCACTCATTCTCGTTTTTTGTAGATTTATCGATACTGATTTAACCGAGCAGCACTTTTTGAATTGTAACTTAATAAATAACACAGTTTTATCTTTGCTGACGGATTGTGTCGTCGATTTTGACTACAACATCTACCTGAATGATCTGTTTAAAGAGACAATCGCGTGGGCTGGACCCATGGTTCCTGCCCTTCTGGTATTGGGATTCGTTCTGGAAGCAACATCAAGACCACCTGTTCTAGTACTTCTTTTAGTATTAGCAAGTGTAGTCAGCATTGGAATTTTCTTCTTGGTCAACTTTGTGTCTACCGTCATAGTAGAAGCTATCTTTAAAGTACTTCTCATTTGTGCTGTTAATGTCTTAACCATGGTCGTTATTGAAGGATATCCGTGCCACCTTAGGTAAATATAAAGATCGAATAATACCATAATCACTTTTTCAAATTCTTTTAGATGTACTGCCCACGGAATGATGCGAAGTGTATACCACCTAGCGTCCCTTTGTGCTATTCCTATCTATGGTACGTTAGTGCATACCATCTTGTTGTTTCCCGCCGTGACAACCGTAGCCCTTGCACTTCTCGCCGCCATGTTGTCTACAAGAATCCAAGATAACAGTAAAGTACTTTTATAAACCGATTAATAATAGTTATTTTTTTATTTCTTATATATTTTTACCTAGTATCTGTGATATTATTTACTTAACGGTAAGATTAAAAATAAATGTACCTCCTAAATGTCCTTAGATGTGTAATTTGAACCTATAGTTTCGTTAGCAATACATAGATCATTTAATAATGTACCTATAACTACTACATCTGCATATCATACAGCCTCAAGCACAAGAAATCATGTCAAATTATAAACGATAATTCTGAATGTTCCAATAATTAAGGTAACATATCGTATTTTATGGTTAGTGATTTCCTACTGTATTTTGTTTTCTATGACCAAATAAATCCTGCTTGGTTAGTTATAGAAGACTTTACTAACTGAAAACATTTTATGAAATAAATGTACCTTCTTCCATTGTATATTTAATACATATACAATGCTTCTTCTTTTTATTATGTATTTAGTTATTAAGTGTAAATTGGGAACCGATTATACCTTTTTAGTATGAGTTAAATTATCAAACGCAAGCGCAAAAAATTGTAATTTTCAGCTAATAGGCTGAAGTGTGCAAAAATCTCGTACTAACACCGTTACAGAACCCAAGAAATTATTACCTCAATGTATGTATATGGGCGTTGGTCAAAGAGAAATCAACTGAAAACCTCTTATGAAATAAATGTACCTTCTCCTTTTAATTATGTATTTGGTTATTAACTGTAAATTGGGAACCGATTATACCTTTTGGTTATGAGTTAAATTATCAAACGCAAGCGTAAAAAAATTTTAATTTTCAGCTAACTTGAAGTCCGCCATTTTTTTTCATTTGTAAATACGGAAAATTCCCGGTTGGTCATCAACAAATCTAGACGGCTGAAGTGTGCAAAAATCTCGTATTAACACCGTTCCAGAAGTTAAGAAATTATTAACTCAATGTATATGGACGTTGGTCAAAGAGAAATCAACTGAAAACCTCTTATGAAATTAATGTACCTTCTCCTTTTAATTACGTATTCGGTTAGTAATTGTAAATTGGGAACCGATTAAACCTTTTTAGTATGAGTTAAATTATCAAACGCAAGCGCAAAAATTGTAATTTTCAGCTAACTTTTATGTCCGCCATAAATTTTTTTCATTTGTAAATACGGAAAATTCCCCGTTGGTCATCTAGAAGTGTAGATGGCTTAAATGTGCAAAAATCTCGCATTAACACCGTTACAGAAGCCAAGCAATTATTACGTCACTGTATATGGGCGTCGATCAAAGAGAAATCAACTGAAAACCTCTTATGAAATTAATGTACCTTCTCCTTTTAATTACGTATTCGGTTATTAAATGTAAATTGGGAGCCGATTATACCTTTTTGGTATGAGTTAAATTATCAACGCAAGCGTAAAAAATTTCAATTTTCAGCTAACTTTAAGTCCGCCGTAAATTTTTTTCATCTGTAAATACGGAAAATTCCCCGTTGGTCATCTAGAAGTGTAGATGGCTTATATGTGCAAAAATCTCGCATTAACACCGTTACAGAAGCCAAGAAATTAATACCTCACTGTATATGGGCGTTGATCAAAGAGAAATCAACTGAAAACCTCTTATCAAATTAATGTACCTTCTTTTAATTACGTATTCGGTTATTAAATGTAAATTGGGACCCGATTATACCTTTTTGGTATGAGTTAAATTATCAACGTAAACGTAAAAAATTTCAATTTTCAGCTAACTTGAAGTCCGCCATAAATTTTTTTCATTTGTAAATACGGAAAATTCCCCGCTGGTCATCTAGAAATCTAGATGGCTGAAGTGTGCAAAAATTTCGCATTAACACCGTTAAAGAAGCCAAGAAATTATTACCTCAATGTATACGGGCGTTGGTCAAAGAGAAGTTAACTGGTTTCACACACTTCAAAGAAAAAAATTCTTGCGTGTACGTACCCCAGTAATTAAGAGCATGTTGCGACCCAAGTCATTATAGAAATTTCTATTTTATAAACCCTTTTCTACTGTTGAGTGGACCATTGTATATGGTCAGACTTTCTAACATGAACTTAACTGATTGCCGCAAAGAAGACCATCGACAAATCATTGCCGTGGCAATGGATGCTTTATAAAAAAAAAGAAATCCTACCTTTGTAAGACTGCCTCTCTGGAATCTAAAACAAAGAAAAAATGTACATTAAAAAGGAGACAAAAATTAGTTTCATTTAAAAATTACTCAAAATGGTTAGTATCGTCATACCCCTTAGAAATTACCGGACGGTGCGTAAGCAATGCGAGAAGGGGATCCTTTAAACATTTTTTCTATTTATGTGGTTTTGCCTAAATTGAACTGTAGATGTGTGTAATGTGTTTGTTTTGTACTTGATTTGAATTGTCCACTTGTATTCTGTCGTTTGTGTTTTGTTCCTGTTGATTTACTGTATTTGACTCGATTCCGATTTTTATTGTATGATTTGAGATGTTTGATTTGTATATTTTCCTCTTTTACATTTTGTTGTCCAAGTTGATTTAATTTTACCACCTGCATGTGAGTAACGAGGTATTGCGTTGGGGCAAAAAATGACCCCCCACTTCTTAAACGGAAAAAAAACCATTTTAAGCACCAGGAATCCAAATCAAAACAATCTCGATGATGTCGATCTGTAGGTCCGTTTCCAGCTGAACGGCTGAACCGATTGGAACCAAATTTTGTACACATATTTTTAGACACAAAAGGCAGAATAGAGCATGCACAAGTAATAAAAAAACTGTCGAGATTCAAAAGTGTCCTGAAACATCCGTTGTTTGTGACTTTATTCGTAGTTTTTCCCCTCGAATTGCCAACTGTAAGTATAGGGTAAGTCAAGATTGCAGATCCGGCTTGGCGGATCCCTAGGATAATTACGTAACCTAGCTCTCATTTAATTGGTGGTACAGAAACGAAGAAAAAGAATCAGCGATTAAATATGGCCGCGCTTATGAATAAGAAGCCATTTTGTGGGTGGTGGTAAATCAGAAAGGATAGTAATAATTACGGGGAGATTTGGCAGGCATTCGTTCTTGGGTTACGAGATAGTTTAGTACGTGGTCCAAGATATTAGTATATTATTAGCTTTGAGGAGAGAACTAAATGTGTCATAAAGAATGATTGTGCAATCGGACGAAATAAAGACTACCGTCAAATACGTGCGTCTCAGTAAAATAAATTAATTAATTGCGCCGGGATATATCTTTTCCGTTACAATGAACAATAAGCTAGCAGAAAAAATCCATATTTAAGTTACAAAGTCTTTATTGAACAAAAAGAGATTGAACTTTGCTTGTGGAATTCATAACCATAAAAAACATTACCAAAAATTTAACATGTAAAAAAATGTTTCCCTTTGTGTGAATATACATAACAAAAGTGTTATTAGCAAATTCTCATGTGAAAAAGGATCCTGGAAACACAGAAGTAAATCGTTCAAAAAAACTACGCCCAAAGAACTTTTGTTTCACCGGGAATTTAATCGAGAGACGCTTCTCGACGGGGAAGTTCCAATTTACAACAACATTCATGCATTGAATTTTTATAGGGATTCCAAAGATAGATGAAATTTTATAATTCGTCCGTGGCGACATCTAATAACCCCTACTTTAAAACGGTTTTGGTATTCGTGAAAAGTGTTCATGATTAACACCACTTACAGCCCTCTTTTAGATCACTTCAAACGCACCCCTCTGAAGGAGTTCTTTGACCACCTAGATGTCGCCAGTCTGCAGAATAGCGTACTATCCTCCCCGATTTTAAAGATAACAAGCAGTCTTGGTTGGTTGTTATTAATATCATAAGGGAATAAGCTGCTGTTATTGCGCAGCCCAAAGCAATTTTCTGCTCCAATCTCACGAGACATCTAAACGCTGCATAATTGTTTAATTATTGAGTATAATCTAGAGGTAGCAAAAAGCACGGTTTACACCGTAGTACAAGTTCAAAATTACATATAAAACGTCTTAAATTATCGTACGTTTTTCAAATTACCGACACGATAAAAATACAATTTCGTTTTTATAGTTATTAGATCGGATTCTCCCTCAGAATACAATGTATCTCAATGTTGGCGCGATCATAAGGGATTTTTTTTTGATGGTCCTATACAGATGTTTCTTCTAACATAAATGGTTCTCAAATAAAAATCCAATTAAGTTAAACGACAACACAAGCTTAAAATCTTCGGCTATAAAGTCATAATAAACCTATATACGCCACATCTAAAAACAGCCCCGCTAATAAATAAAACAGATAAAATCGTGTATCCCTATTTTTGGCCCTATTAACTCCCCTCGTGTTTTGACTACTTTAAATTGACTTATAATTTGTGATAAAAAAGAACTTCATCGTGTAAGTTGGGGTTTTAATGAACAGAACTCACTTAAAAACGTTTACAAGTTAGAAGGGTGATTATTCATAGACGTCTCAATATCAAAGCTATTTTTTTCTCGGGCGACTAATTGTAGTTTAAGGCTGTGAAATGAGAAACTAAGTGCGAACGTAGTTTTTATCAATTAAACTCGATATACCGGAGTGATAAATTGAAGTTTCTTTTATTTTTTCGACGGGGATTTACACTTTTAATAGGGTTTATTCCCCAATGTGCTATTTAGCAGGTTTCCCATCTGGACGTGATGAACTCGGATAAATCCGTAGGGTTAAGTGTTGATTATTTCATTGTATTTATACACTATAATATAATTATCATCGCGTATGTAAACCTATTTAATTACATTTCCGATTTCGCTATTACATAGTTAATGGAAATCGGTAAGGGCGGCGTCCTAATTTTGAGGGTGATTGGTGAGAGGGTGGCGCACCAAAATGTCTTAATATTGAACTACTTACTAAACAGTAGATGATACAATACCCACCTGCAGCCGGAATTATTCAATATTCACCTTCATCTGATGACAGGGCTGAACCGTGCATCTTATGGGGTTTGGGTCAATAATATTGTGAGATTTGCCTAAATATGAGAATAAGTGGCGAAAGATTTGCCAAAGAAACATCTTTTGTATAAATTGATAACAGTAATTATTATTTATCACTCACTGCTAAATTTATGACATAACTCAAGTGCGTCGATGTTGGAACTGAACTCGAAACACAATTCGATTTGCTTATATAGCAAATAATATTCTTTCGGGATGTTCTCGAGGGCTCAAGGGCGCTTCAGAATATTCTCGAGCAAACACGTCATATTTCTCAGAAAGATTACGTCACATCCGCCTTCGTTCTTTATCGCCGATGGCTA